GTATTTTTTCAATTATAACCGATGTATTTCACTAACGCCCCTTCCAGAAGAAAGCGTTTCCGTGTTTCCCAAATGTTCCGCCGCCACCTGCCGTTTACGAGAAAGTGATTCGTTTGGAGGACAAAGAAAATGTATGCACTTAACAAATACTGATTTTTTGTTTGTTTTCACCAAAATGTTCCAAGTACACATTTGTGATTCTTTCAGAAGGACAGTCTTTGAAAATTCTAATGGCAGCAAAGATTCGAAAGGAAAGTGGGGAGGGAGGGGATTGGGGGAGGGATTTCTTGAAGAACGCTTTGAAAAATACCTTTTCATTTAACAATAAGTCTTTTAATAGTGAAAGTTAAATGTTTGTTATGAAATGTAATGAGTATAGTTTTTCAAACGTTTCCAGTTTTTCCTAGAAAGAACGAAAATTTATTAGCCTCTTGCAGGGAGTTAGGGGAAGTGACATTCAACTTTTGACTGCACTAATGACTGACTGTCCTAAAAAATTGTAACAAGTTGTGATTTTAGGAGCCGGAAGATGAGGTGGATGATGAGGAGGACACTGCAGAACAAGTATATTTTTAACCAATATGCTTTTAAGGCCAGAAAAAACATTCCAGCTTACAATGTGAGTAGCGGCCATAATGGATCAACACTCATCCACCCGGAGTTTTTTGTTGTAGGCTGAACCAGGCGCTGAAGAGGAAGATATGGCAGAAGAGGTCGATGAGTACGAAGAGGAATAGTAAGGCGCACTAACGCTCAGTGTGTGCTTGCGTGAATGTCTTCGTTCCGGCGTTTCAGTGTCCGGTTTTGCTCAGATGAAGTGTTTTTCGTGTTTTTCTGTCAAATAACAAATAATTGTCATGTTGTGTGAAAATAACACCATATTCTGCAAAAAGCGGCGCACATTACGACACATAAATCTCCAGCGTTTTATATTCAGTCTTTTCGTTCACTATAAGTGATTACTATAGTGAACGAAAATTTGAGCACGCCAGTGCGCACAGAAAGCTATTGTACTAAACCAGGATGATTTACAGTATTCTAGTAAATGCAATCACCTGAATGACGAATGCGTAGCTGCTTGTTGTGGAGTTATCCGAAAAGATTGAATTTCAATTTGGAATGGAAGGCTGAGTAGATTAGAGCTTCACCAGACTGCAAAGCAGCAGGCTTGCTGATTTGATCATGCGTTTTTGCTATAAACTTGCTGAATTTTAATAGTAGAGATGGTTCATGCGTCGTAGTTTAAGACGTTCACTCATGCTGGCTGCGTTTTGGCCTTTTTTTGCACATAAAGGAAAGTGCCTTGGCTGGGACGAAAATGTTACATTATGGGGTCGCTTCAATTTCTAGCGTGCATGGCTGCTGGTTTTGCATGAAGCCCGGTTGTTTTTTATGCGTTTTTGCATATATGCAAATGCGAAAACGCATATTGCAACGACTTCGGTGTGCGTCTGTGTGTGTGCGTCTGTCCGGATAGTTCGATTCGGCATCCAAGCAAACTTCGGCACCACGATTTTGAGAGTGGGTTCCCCGGCCAAGTGCCACCCCAGGATCGCGGTACCAGTCCTCACGCATGTCTAGGCCCCGCGTA